GTCATGACATATGTCATTTGTGGCATAAAAGACATAGGGGTCTGTTAATAGGCAATTCAATGAGCGATACAGTAAATGCTGCATTATGTGTACATTTGCTCACTTTTTGCTCGCATGCACATGACTGATGTATAGTAACTTAGAATTCACTTTAGGCAGTACTAAAAATGTTTATTACAAAATGCTAAGTTAAGAATATTTTCTTATTTTTATTATAATATAATATATTATTATTAAATTAATTGAATATTTTATTTTATTATTTTTTTATTGACGATCATGAATTTAACCTAAATACAATAAGAACTGTAAAAAGTCTCTAGATATAGACTAAACAGTTGATTTACCGAATAAACAAGATTACATATTATTTCAAAAATCTACTAAAATATTGACAATATCTCTATCTCTATATCACTAGAGTCTACACACATTCAAATGTTTTAAATATCTCTTATAATTAACTTGTTAGTACAGTAGTTTACGGGTTTTAGCTTGTGCAACTCACAAACAACTTAATGCATATAAATCACAATCCGTTTAATTTAATTAAGGTGTAACTTCATATACTGTAATTTGTTTTGCATGAAATTTATCATGCTAGGTGCAACATTTACCCCCATCAATTACAAACAAATTTCCAGTAATAAACTCGGCTTCAGGTGACGCCATATGGAGCACGACTTTGACAATGTCTATACGTTGACCTACCCGTCCCATAGGTAGTGTCAATGCTAATTTGGCATATATTGCCTCTGATTGCACCGAATCCATGCCATCAAGCAGTGTTTTTTGAAAAACTCCTGACCTAGTTTAGTTTAATAGAGTATATGAATAGGTTAGTACAGGTAGTAGCCACTAAATTATAACAAGTCTTACACAATGGTGTTCACTCGCACGCCATTGTGGGCCAACTCGAGTGCCACACATTTGGTAAACATATTTAGCGCACACCTGGCCATACAGTACGCGAAACTTTTCGGTCTCTATAATATTTTTAGAGTATTTTTAAAAATTATAATTTTCATGAGCTTGTCCCTTTACAATATATTTATAACATTATATGTAAGTTATGATTAAATAAAATAAGTATGTTGGTTATTAATAAACATTTTAAATATCGTAATAAACTATGCATGCTGAAACATGTTTAAATAATCTAGCAAAATACCGGTATCCTTGAGGCCACGCTCGATATGTTAATGATATTACCCCTAGTTTTGACCAAATGTTGGGCACATAAATGTGTTAAGAGTACGACTGGACGCAGGTTTTTGTCCAAACAGTCGCCAAAGGTGTCCATAACGTTGACATCCAATAGACGTTTCAAATAGCGATTGCCGGCGCTGTTGACCAATACGTCGAGTCGAGTGAATGTGTCGATTGTGATGGCAATTAGTCGCCGACAGTCCTCTGAGATAGTTATATCCGCCAACACTTCCAACGGTTTAATACCTTTTGGCGACACTTCCCGACACTGTTTGGCTACATCTGAAACTCTCTGTCCGTCCCTACCAGTGACTACCACTTGGGCCCCCAGTCGGGCAAATTCAACGGCAGTTTGGGCGCCGACACCACTGCTTGAACCGGTAATCAGTACTACTTTTCCCGTAAAATCACTCTTATTAGACATAATTAACAAAATTAATTAAATTATATTTACTACGATATATTTATATTTAATTTAAATTATTTATTTATGTATTATTTTTAAATTGCTATTTATGTTCACAATAATATAGTGATGTATGTAATTATACAGTGGTATCAAAATGAATGAGCACCCTATTTAAAATCCTAGATAAATGATTCATCAGTAATGGCTTAAAATAATGTTATTTAAGTAATGGCCTATTTATGCAATCTAATAATTATGTAAAAAAAATATTTATATATTTTTGAATTTAATAATGTATTATTTATGCCAGGTCAAATTAATTAAAAAATTTATATAAAATAAATTACAAATCTTTAAATATAAATTTTTAAAAATCATATGATCAAGGCTAATGCCTACGCAATTCAATGATTCGTATATTTGGTACAGGTGCCATATTATTTGGGTCAAACTATTAAGTAATAAAACTTTTTTAAAAAGTGTCAATTTTAACTGGGACATTTTATTATGGCTAAAACAATATAAACGAAGCAATGTAAAATCAGCACAACTGTATAGATATGACTTTGCAAATTTTGAGTAGCAACACCAGATTCAGTATATTTCAGAACTAATATGACTTGAACATTTTATATATAAAACAAACAAACATTTTGTATTCAATACAATACCATTAATATTACTCAATTAATTATTTAGAAGTTAAACAATTTAAACTTCTATTCTAAAATGTCTATTGAATTTAACTTTAAGGGAAAAGTAGCCCTGGTCACCGGGTCGAGCTCGGGTATAGGCGCCGCTACAGCCGTACAGTTTGCCAAAGCGGGCGCAGATGTTGTGGTGACCGGACTGTATGCCGACAACGACTTATCGTCGGTAGCCAACCGGTGCCGAAGTCTGGGCGTAAAAGTGCTGGAAATGGCCGCAGATGTTACCCGAGAGGCAGACATGCGAGCACTGGTAGCCAAGACTGTCGACACATTTGGCAAAATAGATATACTGGTCAATTGTGCCGGTACTGGTAAACGGGCCGCCATTACTGAGCCCTTATATATGGATGCCTTTCGAAAGCTAAGGCAAACAAACTTGGATTCGTACGTATTTATGACCCACATATGTGTGGAGCACTTGGAAAAGAGCCAGGGTACTATTGTCAATATATCCAGTATTAGAAGTACCCAAGCGGTAACTATAATATTTTTAAAAATTTGTATAAAGTATAGTTAAATGCAATCAAATACATAATAAATGATCAGGGCCCTAAGGATTCAGTGTATTGCATGTCAAAGGCAGCGACCGATATGTTCACCAAATGTATGGCCGTTGAGTTGGGACCCAAACGGATCCGGGTTAATAGCGTTAAGTATGTTTAAATATTGTATTATCTAAACAATAATTTTGTAATTCTGTGAAACAGCCCTGGTGCAATCCCCACTAATTTTATGAAGGAGTTAGGGGTAGATGTTAACAGACTAATCGTAGGTATGCCTAAAGTATTGCCGGCGAGAAAGTGCGGTACACCCGATGACATCGCGTCAGCCGTACTCTATTTGACAGCACCGGAGGCGGCGTTTATAACCGGCACTAATTTGGTGGTCGATGGCGGGCATACTGTCGCCGGCATTCCCTTCAGTTATGATCAAAAGTAGCTGAGAGTTGCTTTTAATTTAGACCTTAACCTTTAGATAGTGACAATAATTTTATGAATAACCAAGAATAAATAATACATTTTGAACAGTACATTTATTAAAAAATAATTTTAATTTTATAAAAATTAAATACGGTAGTCTATGTTTATTTAGTTGAATAAAAACTTATAGATAATTAATGTATTTGTTGAGTAAATGTTCGCCAAAATAGTATTAACAGTGCAAACAAAACATTTATTTTAAAAAATTTAAAATTGATACATGTACAATAAATTTTTTATATACGGTACAATAATAAAAATAAAATTGTAACAAAAGTAATGATCAACATTTATAGACCACATTAAAAAAATATCCATAAATAATAGATTAGGTCGATTTGGGCTAAACACAATGATTGCCGTTAACTATAAACAAAATATAATTAATAGTCCGGGCGTCGACATGTGTGGCCGATAATAGCAACTGTAGTTTAATGTTTGAGTCTATAAACGCTCGATGGACAGGTATGTTTGAGGCGTACTGACCC